CTTCTGTCCCTAAGGCTTCTCATTAATTATTTAAGGACAGTTTTGCTAGTGAAATCTTCTAATAATATTGAATGGTACATTTATTAAAATTAGCAATTGATATGTTGAAGTATTATATGGGATGTGAGCACTACCACATATTGTAAGCATTCTTCATGCCAAATCACTGCACAGGTGGGAGGCTCTCCCTGGGTCACAGCTTGGTAAAAGCCTGGTAACTAAGGCCAATCCTTTAGAAATGTTCATTTGCAGAGGCTGCCTTGTTCCCAGAGAGGATCTACTTCCATATGCTACTTAGATGGGATCTGCCAAGATAATGATGAGTTTTTGATTTAAAGATAAACAACTGTTCCAGCAGACCCAAATAAATCCTTGGCTCCGATTTTTTTCAACGTTCCTCCCTGGTGTCTGTAGTGCTGTTATTCCCAGACAGAATCTTTGCCATTGGGTTTGTCCGAGGGGCTTGACTACTAGGGGTTTGTTCACCCTGATGCCTTTATGGGAGTTTTAGAAGTCATATCATAGTCTCATACTGAAGATAGACAGAGACAGAGAAAACCCTGGTATTTGCTGTCTTCAATGACAAGATCCCCCCCCCACCTCTCTCTCTCCCCTCTCTCTCTCTTTCTCTCTCCTTCTCTCCTCTCTCTTTCTCTCTCCCTCTCTCCTCTCTTTCCTCCCCCGCTCTCTCTCCCTGCTTGTCCTGCTGGTCCTGGGGCTTGAACTCTGGGCCTGGGCACAGTCCCTGAGCTGCTTTCACTCGAGGCTAGTTCTCTAGCACTGGAGCCACAACACTACTTCCATCTTTTTCTGTGATTAATTGGAGATAAGAGTCTCATGGATTTTCCTGACCCAGCTGGCTTCAAATTGTGATCCTCAGATCTCAGCCACATAACAAGCTAGGATTTCAGGCATAAGCCACCGGTGCCTGGCTCAATGACAAGATTTCTGGTTTTTAATGTAATTATAGGACTTTTGTATGTGAGGTGTATTTTGCTACTCACAGTTTTATCAGGTAGAATTTCACTTCTAATATGGACGGCTACTTGTGGAAGGGGAAAAGAACTATTATAAGGATGTGAGCATGTCTGTTCTATTAGAAATTCACGTGAGTGCCTTGCATGGTGGCTTAGAACTCTAACATGTTCTGCTAAAAGTTTTAGGAAGCCCTAGGAAGCTTGTGAGATAGCAATCCGATATTTGGAAGGATCCTAACATAGCTTTAGACCCTGAGACATTGTTTTTTGTTTGTTTGTTTTTAACTCAAATGGCTAAAAAGAAAAAGAGGAAAAGGAGGAGGAAAGGGAGGGAGAGAAAGAAGAGGAAAGCTGCAAGATTCCAAGAGGAACCAGGGGGACTGATGCCCCGGGAGAGTCTTGTATGGGCTGTTGGCTGGTAAGAAAGTGACCTAGCATGGCCAGTAGGAATCCCACTGGTTAAGTGGCACAATGCCCCTTACACTTCCCTGCTCAGACTCCAGAGCTCTTGACTTCCAAGAACTGTCCTTAGGTGGCTCCCTGGCTAACCAGGCAGGTCAAACTGACCACTTAAGGGCAGTTTTTGCTCACTTTCCCTTTCCAGGAAAAACTGACTTTAAATTTCCTAGAGAAATTAACACTGGAAGAACTGGAAGAAACACTTGCAAATCAAATAAAAGAAGTGACTTGTGCCAGGGAACTACGATTATATTCAAGAAGATTTAGATGACAATGGAACTCATTCTTTAAGACCTATGCCTGCGGCACTGTGACGAAACACTTGTCCAGGCTGCCCACCTAGGGTCTGTGTGCCTGCAGGATCTGACATCTGCTGGGCCTACTCTTTTACCTAGTAACCGTGTCTCTTTCCATCACTTCCTTTGTCTCCTCTCCATAGCCCCTCCTTTCTCCTGTTTGTTTTAAATGCCACTTTAGAATAAAGAGATCTTGTTTTAAGTTAATTTCCTATATAAGTTACCAATATGTACATTTTTTTTGGTGGGGAGGGGGTAGTGTGAATCAGTGGTGGGGCTTGAACATAGACCCTGACTGCTATCAATGAGTGGTTTTGCTCAAGGATACAGCTCTGCCAATTTGAGCCACTTACAGTTTCCTGGTGGTTAATTGGAGATTACGGTCTCATAGACTTTCCTGCCTGGGCTGGCTTTGAACCACAATCTTCAGATCTCAGCCTCCTGAGTAACTAGGATTGTAGGCCTAAGCTGCAAATGCCCATCTTACTAGCTGTTAAGTTAATATCCATTTAAATGTGCAACCAACCACTGTCACCCTTGGTAACTTTCCCTGTAGTCAGCTTTTTTCTTCACAACTATTCCCATATCTTTCTGACTTTACTATCTGGTCCCCAGAACACCAGAATGTATGTTTTTGCTTTAACATTTTGTGTGTGTGTGTGTGTGTGTGTGTGTGTGTGTGTGTGTGTTGGGTTTTATTTTGTTTTGTTTTCATGTGTTTCTGGTGTTAAAGATCAAACCCAGTGCTTCATGCATGGTAGCAAGTACTTTACCACTGAGCCACACCCCATACACTAACCCTGCTAGAATGCATTTATATGATGGTAGAGATACTTTGTCATTTTCCCCTGCTCCTTCCTCTCTCCTCTACTTCTGGTGTTCAGCCCAGGCTAGATCCCTGACATCTAGAATTGACCTAGCAACTAGGAGGTGTTCTAGTATCATATATAACCTGGTATAGTCTTTCCCTTCTTCTTTTCAGATGATTTTATTTAAATAAAACAACATCGCACACATTTAGGTTAAGGAGAAGGGGAAGGAGGCATTGGTCATCAGTATGGTGCTTTTTCAGTTCTGGCTGGATTGGACTTACTTGGGTAGTAAAAAAGATTTTGTATTTAGTTGTAGATCAGAGATAAAGCCAGGAATTCAAAGGAGAAAATACAAAAATATGAAAAATATGTATGTATGTATTTCAATAAGTACTGATGATTTTTTTGCTGACTCCAAGGAAGACTTTAAATGATTAACACCAGTTAAGCGAGATCATTCCAAAATCTCAGATTTATTACAGTCCAGTGTAATTCATGAGGTATAAGAAGACCTTGCATAATCCCCAAATGAAAGATCGATTCTCTTGGTATACTGTAAAGGTTTGAAGCAAAATTCATGATCCCAGCTTCCTTACAAGTGTACCTGAAATTGTATTACAAAGACGTCCTCAACATAGCATGAAGTCATGAAAAACAGAAGTAAAATAAATAGATTCTTAGCAAAGAAGATTGTCTTTAGAGTTCTTGTGGTGGTAGGCTCAAGGTGACACGAACTCATTTCATTAATCTTTGATTTTTGTCAGCAAATCTTATTTCTGGCTAGTATTGGCAGGATAACGCAGAGAGCTATCAAGAAGGTGTGTCTTGTTAAAGTAGCGAGAGAAGGCATATCTATAATTGGGAATACATGTCAGAACACCAAGTGAACAGGCAGAATGAATATCAAAAACCAGCTCAAAAGCTGCAGATACTTGTTCACCATGAGAAGTTGGGGAAATTCCTTTACTAATTCAATATCTCTTCCTGTGTAAAACACAAATAGCAATGTGACCTGCTCTCAAGGATGGGGAACCTTTCTTCTGCCAAAGGCTCTTAAGACAGTAATAACATCATTATAGGCCACACAAAATCATCTGTACCAGCAGATGATATGCAGGCAGATGACACAAAGAACCTCATACATTTGTGCTTTCACAAACCAAATCATGTCTCAAGCTTTCTATATGGCCTGAGGAATGGACATTCTTCAGCCCTGTGAGAGGAACATGAAAGAAATTAATAAAGTACTTAGAATTGTTCCAGCATAGGATCATTATGCCCTACACATTATTAAATAATTATACCTTAAAAACTCACGAGCAATGCTGAGTGAGTGCTGCTAGCTCCCATATACGATCCTAACTATTCAGAAAGCTGAGATCTGAAGAGCCTGATTCAAAGCAAATCCATGCAGAAAGGTCCCTAAGATTCTTATCTCCAGTTAACCAGCAAAAAGTGAGAATTGGAAGTGTGACTCGGGTAGTAGAGCACCATCCTAAAGAGAAAAAGCGAAAGCAAGAGTGCGAAGCCCAGAGTTCAAACCCCAGTACCACCACCAAAAAAAAGAGAAAGTTTGCCAGAACATCATGATGCACACAAAACGCACAGTTAGAGTTACAGTACTTGGTGAATGTATAAATATAGTATTTCACCTTATTGTCTATACCTTTACACATTTCCTAGATAATACTGATATTTCACATTCTGTATTGAAAAGCTGGTAACATCTTTCCTGAGAAAAATGTGATGACCAAAGGCACAAAGGGAATTCTTTTCTGAGGGTGAATAAAGCCTCTCCTTATTTACTTCATTGAAATTGTGTTCTTCCAGTTTGTTTGCATTTCCACCAGTCAGAGTTTGGTTTTACTTGTAGCAATCACACACTCTTTTTGTAATGAAAACAAGATCCCAAATCTAAGCACACTTTAACCCAAGCCCCAAACATGCCATTCAAACTCAGGAATTGACGTTCTTTGTGGATGTGGCTAGTAGCCTCTATTCCTTTCAACTGTACAGAATCCATTATTTTTTTATGGAAGTACCTGCTGACTGCTTTACATTCAATCTTTCCTCCCACATTATTTTACTTAGATTATATTAATTTAACAGCAAGAAAATATTTGTCACGAAGATAAAAGCATACTCGCTGCTGTCTTACATGTATGGTGTTAGCCTCCAACAAAAATGTTCATTTTTACCACCAAATAACCAAAGAACAATGACATTCTAGGGTAGGGAGAGGAGATCATGATTTTCAATATGGAAGACACTATGGGCTGGGGGAACTAGGTTTCATGGACCTCCTGCTTGTCTCCCCATAATTCAGTAGATAACAACCATCCCACTAACAACAAACAGGTTAAGAGAAGGTGAAATTACATATGGTAAGAACTGTTTCTTATCTAAAAGTCAACCTTACAATATAGCATTTATTCATATGTAATTATATATCCATGTGTCCATATATATATATATATATATATAGCATTGTTCCCAGTATACATAAAACTATTACTATCAAAAGGGTGAAGATGAAAACCTTATGTTTCTTGATCATGAAACAAAAAATAAGACGCAGATTTCCTTTTCTTAAGTTAAAAATGGAATCAACTTTCCCTTATGGGAAATCACCTGGTTTCTTAGTGTGTTTAGTAAGTTCTAAAGAAAGAATTCTTTCACTCAAATACACATTTGTTTGAAATTCTGGAATGTTGCCTTCCTGCTGAGTTTTGATGTATAATAAAGTCCATATGAACACTGACATGTTGCCATTTTAACATGAAAGGAATAAATAAGATCCACATAGTCTCTCTCAAGCTGATCTTTATCCAGCCAGTTCATTTCCGTAGCCTAATCAACATCAAATAGGGAGACGTGTCTTCAGTCTTCAATTCACTGCAGGAAACACAAGTATCAAAATTCAGCAGATCAGATTTTAGTGGTTCCATGGCTGTTCCACCACCAAAATCACCTCCATATCCACCATATTGCCATCCCTCAACCAACTGCTTTGATCTAAGAGATGGGAAGTAATCGATAAACCCAGGTCAGTTTTTCCATGAGACATAGAACCATGCTGAAGAAAGCATTTAACCTATGAAAATGTAGCTAAGTTGATAGGACAAGGTATTGGGGCGGGGGCAGAGAAAGAGAGTTTGAGCTTTGGTTTGCTTTCCTACTCAGTGGAAAAACACATCAGAGTAAAATTGAAGATGAGAAAACACTTGTTCCCTCATCATGTTTTAGCTTTATGGGTTTCTTATAGCCTGGACTTTTATTCTGACACAGTTAGAATCTAAACTATACATGTGTCTATCTATGCATACTTCTATGTATATATACGCCATATATTTATGTAAATATAAGAATATAGTTTCTAATCTCAATCACTTCCAGTATTCAATACAAAAGAAAGTATTTGATGTTGGTATGATTTGGGAAGAGGAAGGGAAAAAACAAATTGTTTAAATAGGGATACAGGTGGACCCATTGCAACAATGAGATGTACAAGACGCTATATCGAAAAACAAACTTTACAATTTAGGAAGCGGGGGGGGGGAGTGTAGTTGAAAAGGTGGGAGGGAAGGGATGGTAGGGGAAAAACAAAGGAAGAGGCAATAACGTTTGATAAGAAATGTACTTATTACCTTGCTCATGTAACTGTTTCACAATAAAAAACTTATTTTAAAAAAAGAAAGCATTTTAGCAAGAAAAGAAAAGAAAAAAAACTTGTTCTACAGCACAAAACTATATTTTGGGAATAATTCAATCACTGCTTTTACTGAGGATTGAACCCAGAGCTTTGTATGTGCTGGGCAAATATTCAACTCTCTTTCATAACCCCAGCCATTTTATTTGTATCTTGAGATTCTCTCTTGTCTCTGCCTCCTGAGTAGCTGGGATTTACAGGCATATGACTTTCTTAATCACTACTTTTATACTGCAGCTGATAGAGCTATCATTCATACTTTACTACTCCAAAGTAATGGAGTTAGGATTCGATAGTATACTGATGAGTCTAGACTAACCTAACCAGTTTGCCCCTGAGCCATGCTTTACTTTGCCAATGAGAGATGTATCTTTATGTCTTAACATAAGATCAGACAAAGGAGAGATAGAGTCAGTCCAGTTTTACCGTTGCAAGTAGGAAATATTCTCCATTTGGCCTTTTTTGCAAGTCATAGGGACAAGAAAAAGATCTTTAAAGCACTAGACTATAATTGTTAATTAAGGGCAGCTTAGAAAAACTGGTCAATGAAACCATTCTCTTGAGCACATCTCTCTATCAGCCAGACACACACCATTCAGTTCTGGAGTGGTTACAGTGTGAATGCAGACATGTATTCATCTACACCAGTTCAATTTCCTTCAGGGTCAAAGCCACTGAGTCTAGCCATACTGCCTCACCATGCTTTGGACACAAGTATCTCTTTGGGAGGAAGCAACACCTTTATTTCCAGGACATTCTTTCTTTTAATTTAATTTTATTGTAAAGATGATGTACATAGAGGTTACAGTTACACGAGTAAGTTAACTAGTACATTTCTTGTGGAGCATTGCTACCATCTCCTTTGTTTTTCTCCTACTATCCCTTCCCTTGACCTTCCAATCAAAGTCCCTTAAGTCTTTATCATTTCCCCCACTGAAATGCAAGCATCTCACCATTTCTTTGGAAACTTTTTGGGGATTAATTGGTTTACTGTGTGTGTGATGTGTGTGTGTATATCTATATATACCTGTACCTGGGCTTGAATTCATGGAATAGGCATTATCCCTTAGTTTTTACTCTGAAGGCTGACTCTCTACCACTTGAGCCACAGTGCCACTTCCAGAATTTTGGAGATAAAGAGTCTCATAGATTTTCTTGCTTGGGCTGGCTTTGAACCAAGATCCTCAGATACCAGCCTTTTGAGTAGCTAGGATTACAAGCATGAACCACCAGAGCCAACCTAACTTTCTTTTTCTTGTTTAGAAGTTGTGGTGCTAGTGGCCACAAAGTTGAAAACTTAGCACCTGGAAGCTCAAAGATTTAAAAGGACTTGAAAACGTTATGATTGGTTCCATCTCTAGTCTGTAATTATATATATCATTAGCAAAGTGAAACATTGTTGCAAAGAGTTTTAAAAAGGGAGAGGAATCTGTCTGAATTCCTAGACTGATGTTAATCACAGTGAGTCTGATTTTCCACCTCAGGCACTGTGTTGAAAAGTTTCAGAAAATGAGATTCTGCCCTACAGGGACCAGACAGGGAAATTCAGAAGCTGCTAGAACAGGAAGTTTTTAATCACTTTTTAAATGATACATGTAATTGCAGGCTATGTTTCATTTAAGTGATAATTGTGTAGAATTTATGCAAATGACACTTGCGCCCAGATTCAGATTCAGATTCAGCCAACAACAAAGAGTAAGCACTAGAAAAATTGACTTCCATAGTTTTACCCATCATTTCAGTTGCTTTCTAAGATCATGATCATTGCTTGAAATCATTCATGACTGCATAACTGTTAATGATAGTTGTTCTGCTCAATGCAGAAAAGAAAAATTAATGCAAGGTATTAGTCTCATCTTGGTGATATTTATTTTCAGAGATGATACAGAAATTTCAGTAAATACAAGCAACTTATAATTAAAATTCCCATCAATGATATAAAACCTAGACCACAAGATGTGGGACAATTTAGGAGATGGCATGCAATGATTTGAAATAGTGCTGAAGTCTAGAATCAGCAAAGGGAAAGTGTATCAAAAGTTATCCATTCATTTATTCAGCAAGTACTTATAACATGCCAGGTTTCAGTGATTTCATAATGAGCAAGATTAACACAGTTTTGAACAGGAACTGGTAGATAGACAATAATCAAATGAATACAGACATATTAACAAATTGGAGAAATTTACAAGTGGATTTCACATCAACCTTATTTAACAGAGCTCGAGAAGATGGGGGAAAGACTTTACCTTGTAGAGACAGATTTAGATGCTTTTGTCCTAGGCATTTCAGGCCAAAGTGCCACCTTGGTTTTTAGTTCTTTGTTCTACAATTAACAAAAAAGAAGTGTAGCAATCAGGTAGCTAACACAGATTAGTCCTATCTTTAATATTTCTGCTCAACATACCACCTGCCTCATGCCTTTGTACAAAGTTTGCTGAAACCATTCTGTTAGAAAACAGGAAAAAGCTAGTTAAGAGTCACTAAATAACTCCAAAGAAACAAATACAGCTTGAAAATGTGTAATATACCAAAGGATTAAAATATGAGTATGCTTCCATCAAGGGCTAATGGTTCATGATGGTAATCTTAGCTACTCAGGAGACTGAAATCTGATTACAATCATGATATCAAAGTCAGCCCAGGAAGGAAAGTTCATAGGAATCATCTTCAGGTGACCATCAAAAAGGGAGAATTGAGGATGTAACTCAGACTTGAGTGAAAAAACTAAGGGACAGTGCCCAGGCCCTGAGTTCAAGGTCCAGTATTGGCTCATAGTACCAAAAAAAATGCTGTTCTGACTTAAATTCTGAAATTCAACAGCTGACCTATCTATGTTTGCTTTTACAGAAATATATATATATATTACAGACACCTATATATACAAAACAAATATATAAAAATAAACAAATAAATAAAATAAACAAATATATGAAAATAAACATATTAAAGGATTTCATCAGAGATACCCACTACACTGATTATAAAAGTGTCATTTTTGCACAGTCTCATGATTATAAACCCCTTCATACCATCTCTTCTTTATAGTCCGTGGTATATATTAGCCTCAGTTTTCTCCTTAAGTTTTATATTATCCACCTGGGTACTAAAGGTAAATGACACATGCATGGCTTGCCGATTTAGTTAAGGAAAAAATACTATCTGATCATAATATTTGAATTCTGCAAGGATGCTGTAATTCTAGGAAATGATGGAATGGCCAGTAATAACAGTTGAGAGAATAAGTTCTCAGTTAAAAAAGAATATCTTAGCATAATCACTCACTATGTTAAGTGATTTGATGTAGGGTTTCTTAAACTCTCTGTACCTAGTTTCTTTGTATGTCAAATACACTAGATAAATAAACTCCTGATTTTGACTTCAACTTCCATGCTGTTGTATTTCATTCAGCAGATTAGGACATTTATTTATTTATTTATCTATTTACTAGTTAGGAACTGAACTCAGGGCTTGGGTGCTTTCTTTTAACTCTTTCTCTCAAGGATGGTACTCTACCACTTAAGCCATAACTTCTGGCTTTTTGGTGGTTAATTGGAGATAAGAACCTCAAGGACTTTCTTTCCAGCACTGGCTTTAAACCACAATCCGCAGGCCTCAGTCCCCCTGGTAGCTAGGAGGATGACAAGTATTAACCTCTGGAGCATGGCGGTCTTGGCTGAAAGCTCATTCTAAGCAGAACAGCCACGTGCATGGATTATATTACAAAACCATTCTGGAAAATTACAACTCATTGGCAAGAATACGTCTGCCATGTAGATTCTATTATTGACCCAGTCTCCCAAAAGAATGTAAATTTTGCATATTTAATATTTCATTTGCTATCGTCTAAGAATTAAACTTCAAAAATCATGATAATTATACAATGTTGAATAATCCTCCAAGCTTAGAAAATGGAATAATTTCTAAAAATGCCTTTTCATTGGAGCAGATAGAAAAGAAATCTCAAATGCATGAACTGTAACATACACATTTCCAAAGATATGACAGTAAGAAGAAAGTAAATGATTTAGGTAAAGTAAAACAAGAATGTTCTACTTAATTTTAAGAAATTTAAAAGACTTAAAAATATGTAAAAAGATATGTGAGTTTATTTCAGTCTCTATTTGGAGAGAAAAACAAAACAGAAAACAGCTAAGATAGAATAAAGCACTACAGAGGAGAAAAAAATCCCATGACTTTAAAAACTAAGATTAAAATAGAAATAGTTGACTTAGTAATGGTAGTAATAAATGAAATAAATAAAACTAATTGTGCAAATTTGGTATCAGAGCTATACATTTCTAGATATAGTATAAATATATATGTACACATGTGTTTTGCACATGTACTTACACACACACATATACATCATCCAGATAAGTAGAGGCTGCACTGTGCTTGGGAGAAGTCATATGCTTTAAAGTCAAGCATAGTAGTCTGCCACCTACTACTGAGTGATTTCAAACAAGTTTCTTCATTTCTCTGAATCACACGTTTATCAGTTGCAAAATGTAATAAATAATATTTTTCCTGGAGTCACTTTGAAGATTATAAAAAGGAAGCATGTAGCTTGCCTAAAAAATGAGGCAAATAATTTTTATTATGGATGAGACAGTGATAGGGTCTTCATGGTTTAGAAAGCTGATATGTTTCAGAGCCCAGAACAATAGTAAAAATGATGTATCATAAAAAGATGCCAAATCAAAAATAACCTCCCCAATTAAAGTGAATTACAGATACATAATAATTAAAATATGTTGCTGGAGCCAAAAATAGGTCGATACATCATTGTGATAATCTCCAACTGAGAATTCAGTCTAGAATATGTGTGTGTCTCAAGTTCATCAATTAACCAGTAAATTCTAGGATTCAGGGCTTATTTCTATTTTGTTTCAGCATTATTCTGAACTTAGTGTTTGCATAGTAGTGTGTACTCGATAAGCCCTTGCAGAATTAATTATGCAACTCATGTAGAAATCAAACTAATAAAATCAGGTGCAGATCCCAATAGAAATATGGTTTTACATCAATTACAGGTTCACATCTGTAATCCTAGCTACTCAGGCGTCTAAGATCTGAAGACCAAGGTTTGAAGCCAGTCTGGCAGACAAATCCAAGAGACTCCGGTCACCAGCGATCCAGCAAAAAAGCTAGCAGTGGATCTGTGGCTCAAGCAGTAGAGTGCAGCATTGAGTGAAAAAGCAAAGTATGAAGTCCAAAATTCAATCTCTAGAACCAGCACACACATACACACACACACACACACACACACACACACACACACACAACTACATAACCATTCTTTGTGACTGTTCATGGATGGTTATTTCACTTTTTGTTGTTGTTGGTGGTGGTGGTGGTGGTGGTCATGGGGCTTGACTTCAGAGCCTGGGTGCTGTCCTTGAGCTCTTTCATTCAAAAGCTAGCACTCTACCACTGAGAGCCACAGTTCCACTTCCGGATGGTAATTTTGAAAGTGACTTTCTAATTACTTATCTCTTTGTCTTAACTATGATGGAATGAATAAATAATCATAATCTCTTAAATAATCTATAAGAAATACATGTAACAATGTGAATGTAGTAGATACATCAACTAGCTAGAGTATAAAGTAGGTAGATTGCATAGCTGCATATGTAATAGTAATAAAAACAATTTTTAAAATCAAAGAACACTTGCTAAAAGACTACCAAGCAAGAAAGAAGGTGAAGGAAGCTTTTGCAGAGCATTTCTGAGGAGGAAGTGGTGCCAAGCTGCTGTGAATCACTGAACCTGGAGGTTCCTGACAGAACTGAATCAGCCATCACTTGGCAGGTGAAGGAACGCTCATTTTGAGCCAAGAGGACCAGTCCGTGCATTTTTGTTCATGCAGAGTTATGGGTAATAACTTAATCAATCCAACAGTCCCACCCGCCCTGGAGATGGGGTACCTTAGGAGACATTCAGTGAGGTCTCTGCTCCAGAACAAGAAGAGAACAATGGTTCTCGTGGAGACAGAAATGGGAATGGAGCTAGAAACCTTAACATGTAAAAAAAAAAATCTTCACAACCATTTCTAAGTTATTTTGTGTTTTCTTCTTCTGATTGGGCAGGCGGAGACAAAATGGTGACCCTGACCCAGGGGAACTATCATGATGCTCCTTTCTAGTCTATTCTGAGGAGAGAAAGTTCTGAAAGCTGAGCAGTTTCCACAGAGAATCTCTGCGGTCCCACTGGCAGGTGGACACAAAGCGGGAGATGAAACTACTGAGAGATAAAGCCGGAAACGAGTCCAGCTGCTGGCAGCTGGAGAGGAGCCAGGGGACAGGGACAAGTGGGTAGCATAGCAAGAAGCAGAGCTGGAGGCTGAGGCCCTCGGGGTCCTCTGAGGGGCTCCTCCGAGCAGTGGCCTTCTCATTCCTCCTGTGAGAGGGGGCTGGAGGCCCTCTGAAAGCCAGAAGTGGAGGGGAGCTGAGGAAGTATGTCTTACCATTCCTATCACAGACAACTGGAAAGTATAAGGTTTAACACAAGGCAAAGCACGGTGTTTTGAACAGGCTTCTGGATGTAGGCAAGGCCTGTGGCAAAGCTTAGGAGCATGGATGTGGATGAAGACAGAGAAACATGAAGCATCTTGTGCAGGAGGAGGGAAGCCTGGCAATCTAGAGAGGATGGAAGTTTTTATACAACTGTAGCCCTGACCAAGCAGTCATTAGAGTTTATAGAGAGCCATTGCCTGTGGTACTAATATGTCAAGTGTTCTGGAAAATGTGAACGAATTCTAGCAATTATTTAGTATTTATTTAATAGATAATGTTACCATAAATAACTTGACTATACAAGATGATTAGTAATGTAACAATAATTCCCCAATTATTACAATTTCATAATTATTATAGTTGCCCTCATAGCTATAATTTCTTACACATAGAAGATGCATGCATTTACAAAGACACCTGTGTAGGCCCACACACACTCATGCATATACCTACCTAGTCAGTCAAGAAATCACACAAAACGCACGTGGCATAATGTTATATGTTCACACCTTCACAATCATAAACACACATTCACATACAACCTCACACACACACACACACACACACACAGATTCCTTTCTTACCTGGGCTTCAAGTACACTGACTTTTTCTTGCAGACGTTCAATTCTTTTATCTTGTTCCTTTAAGTTATTCTTTAATCCTTCCATCTAAGAATTAGGAAACACAGTTGGAAAACTCTTGTCAGACCGCAGGCAAAGGTTACTTTTTACTTAGAAATCGTACGGCTTTCCCAGGTCAGAAGATGTTCATCAAATAGAAACATGAAATCCCACAGCCGGCTCAGCAGGCTACAGAAAAATCACAGAACAAATTGGCACCTGAGGTGGAAAACACTCAGCCTGTGCCATTGCACATTTGAATCTCTAGAGAACCTGTTTACACCAGATTCGGCAGGCATACCTGGTATAGAAAGAGGCACTGGCCATCTCCTGTCTGTCCTCCTGTATGTACCTTCTAGGGACATAGGACAAGGCCCAGAATGCAGAGTCTCACTGAAATGAGAGCACTGTCACCCAGCAGCAGGATAATCAAAGGCCACAGGGAACACAGAGGTCTGGTGATGAGGGGCAGAAGGTGTGGGGAGAGAAGGCACCTGTGGATTCAAAAGCCAGCTCTGCCACCGGCAGCTCTCCTCTGACCTGCATTCTATTTCCCTCTCCTCATTGGGGGCGGTGGGAAGCCCCAAGGTCCCGCCTAGTCTTTGAATCCTTCTACTGAACTTTTCTGGACCTTTGTTGAAGCCATAACCAGTTACGTACAAATAGTGTATTTATACCAGGAAAGCATTAGAATTATTTGGGGAGACACCTTTGAAAACAAGTATTAGGTAATGAAATCATTAGGTGTGATTTTAAATCCATATCTTGAGCTGTGCATTATGTTACATGCCTATAAAACCCGATACTTGTGGCTCGTGTGAGGTGTGTAGATATCATGTCTAACAAGTGCGAAGTCTTGAGTTCACAACCTAGTAGCACTACACACACATACACACACACACACACACACACACAGAGGAAGATTTAATGGCTGGTTGCTACCACATTATTTCTTCCTTCTTCCTGCTAGAATGTTCCTAGAGAATAATCAGACTATTTCCCATTCTAAAACAACTTCTACATAAATCTAGTATTTATAATGGCATTAAAAACAGATAACAATTCATTACCCAGACTGGAAAAAAATCAGAATTTCTTGGGCTACAAAATATTCTAAATAACAGTGAACAGTTTATGAGTGGAAAAACATACATTTTTTTAAAATCACTGAAATGGCTAAAAAAATCATTAAATACAACTTCCCAAATATCTTCTCTGGGAGCCTGATGGTGTAATAACTTAGCGAAGGAATAAAAACCAAAAGGATATGTCAGCAGGGAAAGAAGTCTGGGCTTCAGAAATCCAGACAAGCCACACCAGTCACTCACACTTGGTCCTCACACTGCAAACAAACAAATTATCTATCGGAGCGCATCGATTGGTTTAGTCTGACCTCCTGGATGACGCTGCGTAGGTTCTGATGCTGAGAATGAATCACAAACTGCAAATGAGAGATCTGCTCCTGGAGGATGGAAATCTCCATCTGAAGATCCTGGCAACTGAGCATACAAAGGAAAAGAGAGTGGGGGCGGGGTTGCTAACGCATTCTGCAGCTCTTTCTCTTGCCCATGCTGCCAGCCCAGCCTCACACACCCTGTGCTACAGAGCACTGTGTGGTAAGACCCAGGACCCCACTGATATCACCACACATGGGTGAGGAGCAGCCTGTAATCTGCTCTGATAGGAGCTAGAATCGGTAGCAGTTCAAGTCCACAAAGCTCTTTTCTGGCCATTCGTGACTTCCTCCAGCAGGTAGCCCAGTCAAGTTGAATTGAAACAGGGCAAGCACTCATCTAAACCCTCTGACTTATGAGCACCCCATCAAAACTCACAGCTAATTACATGTAGATAGAGGGTCAGAATTTGGAAGCAGAAATGCACAATTTATATAACTCTCATAAACCAACTTCCAGTGATGTCATTTTAGTATATGTTGTAGGTTGTCTGCCACTTTGTTACTTTCCCTTTTATTTTAATTTTTTTAAAGAGTCCTATCCTTGGAAAAATATATTACTTATAAAAAGAGATGGTAGGGTAGGGATGGTAAGGAGAAACAAAGGAGGAGGCAACAATGCTTGATAAGAAATGTACTCATTAACCCGGGCGCCAGTGGCTCACACCTGTAATCCTAGTTACTCAGGAGGCTGAGATCTGAGGATCGTGGTTCAAAGCCATTCCAGGCAGGAAAGTCCGTGAGACTCTTATCTCTAATAAACCACTAGAAAACTGGAAGAGGCGCTGTGGCTCAAGACATAGAGCACTTGCCTTGAGCTGAAGAGCTCAGGGACAGCACCAAAGCCCAGTTCAAGCCCCACGTCCGAAAAAAAAAAAAAAAAAAAGAAATGTACTCATTACTTTGCTCATGTAATTGTAACCCCTCTGTATGGTATTTTCACTATAAAAAACTTATTAATAAAAAAAGAAATGGGGGAAAAGTAAATTTCTGCTAAGTTGTTTTATTTTATTTTTATTTTTTGGCAGTTGTAGGGTTTGAACTCAGGACCTTGTGTTTGCTAAGCAAGCATTCTAACCATTGAATCACTCAGCCAGTCCTTTTCTGGTTGGTCATGTTCAAGTTTATGATTTCACTTTATCCTCTGGAAATGGGATGATGGATATGTACCACTGACAGGTATACAGTATTGCACCCAGCTATTGGCTGAGAAGCAGTATCATGAACTTTTATGGCTTTTAAACTCAACCTCTGTCTTTACCTCCCAAGTAACTAGGATTGCAGGCCTGAGCTATGGCACTAGGCTCAGCGAATATTTTTTTTAGTTGCCTAAATCATGATGAGTCAAGCTTACATGTAGATTATTTCTACTTTTCCAAAGCTCTCTTTGCGTAACTTGAATTGATCTTTGGCCTATTTCTCTTTTGTGCCATTAGTAATGGAAGCATGTTTGTGGGGGACGGATCACCAAGCTCTGGAAAGTACTATGATCTTACAAAGCTACCTGCAACTCCAAGCTTCAGCTTCAGGGATATAATTCCTGACGTGGCTACTACTTGAGATCAGTCTGTTGACCTGAGGATATAAAGTGAATGACATTTTCTTTCTTTTCTTTCCCCTTGCCCTCAACAAAATATGTGCAACTTTCCTGTCATATTTAATGTATAGCAATTACACAAATAACTTTCACGATTGTATTTCACACTGCACCAAATCTGATTGACTTTCCCTATTGTTCTTTCTTTTAAAAATGAATGAATGAAAGAAAAAAAAGCCCTAGCATTTCCAATTAAAAGCAACAGATGGGCTGTAATCCCATCACTAAGCATATATCCAAAATATGCATTAAGAGACAGATAAAACGTGTTCATGGAGGCATTGTGCATGCCAAAACCTAGAGACCAACTAATATCCATCCATGATAGAATGAAAAGTCAGACACACTCACACACATACAACAGAAGTGCAGAAAACTATGGCACCACGAATAAACCCCTCAAACATAAGAAGGAGGAAAAGACAAGCGATACATGCAAATGCAACAGTGTAAACTAAGGGAAAGCAAGCTAGTATGTTAAGGGGCACATAAAGAAAAGTATTACAATAAAGGTCTGATTAACAGGTTCATTATGCTCCTTTATGCTTGGAAAAAACTTGGCAATACAAGATTCAAGATCATCCCAGGAAGTGACCTCAGTTTTATTGAGGTCACCAATATTTGCTTCAATAGAATTCATTAAACCATATGTAATATCTATGTTCTATGTGCTCATCATACTTGACACACTTGACATGTTTTTTTTCAGTTTTGTTTTGGTAAGTTGTAGGGTTTGAACTCTGGACCTGGGCACTGTCTATCAGCTGTTTAGTTCAAGGTTAGCCCTCTATCACTTGAGCCACAGCTCCACTTCAGGTTTTCTGGTGGTTTATTGGAGATAAGAGTCTCACAGGCTTTCTTGCTGGCTGGCTTTAAACCATGATCCTCTGATCTCAGCCTCCTGAGTAGCTAGGATTACAGGAGTGAGCCACCAGTGCCTAAGTCAATATTTTTTAAATGGAAAAACAGATGGGAGATGCAGGCCAGACAATTTATAGAACTTATTTGTGCATAAATTTTGGAGAACTCCTCATTATCTTTGAAGGTAACTATTTTATACTTTTAGTCAATGAACTTGTACTTTCCCTGTTCTGGGGCTTGAACTCAGGTCTTCACACTTATCACCTTTCTTGCTCACGGCTGACTCTCTACCATTTAAGCCATGCTTCCAATCCAGCATTTGCTGATTAACTGAAGATAGAGTTTCAGGATTTCTGCTCAGGCTGGCTTTGAATTGCAATCCTTCAGATCTCAGCTTCCTAAGGATCTAGGATCAAATATGAGTCACTGGTGCCTGGCTTGAACTTATATCTTTGTAACTGAAAAGCAATCACAATTCAAATACAGACAGAACTTTCACTGTCCATATATAATTTAAAAGGTGGGACATGTGAAATGGGGAGAGCAATGGAAGGGGTGATTCTAGTTGAGAAGCACTGGTCACATGAAGATGTTAAAGTGCAACACTTTCTTATACAACCTTTTGCAGTTTAGAAAATGATGATGATGATGATGATGAACAGTGTGCAATGCTGGGTGCTGGTGGCTCACACCTGTGATCCTAGCTACTCAGGAGGCTGAGATCTGAGGATCACAGTTCAAAACCAGCCCAAGTAGGAAAGTCAGTGAAAATCTTATCTCCAATTAGTCCCCTGAAAACTGGAAGTAGCATTTTGTCTCAAAGTAGTAGAACACGAACCTGGAGCAAAAAAACTCAGGGACACAGCAACCAGGCCCTGAGTTCATGCTCCACGACTTGACAAAACAAAAACAAAACAAAGCAAATATAAGAAACAAATACACTAATGGTAGTGGGAACCTTGTCATTAAAACATTTTAACTGGTTCAAGATAAACAACCCATGCTTTTAGAAAGAAAAAAAAAGACAGTATTTCTAGACGCATTCAAAAACTCCAGCTTTGGACTTATCTCAATAATACACTGGAGGAGAAGAGGTGTAGGGAAGATTAGATACCCAAGGTCTTGGAGAAGAAAGGAAACAAATGAGAAATTCAAGAAAAGGAAGGGATAAGGGAAGAGGAAAAGAAGGGAAGAGCACACAAAAGGCATCAGTGCATGGATTGGGTATGTACATCCTTACAAACCTTCTCACATCTAGACAACTAATTCTTATGGCTAAACCCCATATTCCCCAACCTGACTAGGTTAAGCAACTATCAGATGAAGAAATTATGGAAACAAAATCACAGATCATCAACTCAAACCAAAAGAAAGACCACCGGATCAATCATGACAATCATTTTCATATTTTTTTTCTAGAACATGATCCTTCAGGAGGCCCCACCCATCAAGTTCACTCTACATAAATAAAAATTTGAAATGAACTTCATCATGGAGGAGGAACAATAGAGCTAGGAGCAACACAAACGATCTCAGTTTCACTTGTGCGCCAGGCATGAAGGGAAGGTCTATTGAAAAGACTCATTGACAAAAACACAAAAGTGGGGTGGGAAGGGGGGAGGGATGAAGGCATCTCTGGCATCCTTGATACCAGGTTTATACAGTTTATACTTACGAATGGTTCAGAATTAACTTCCCACTGGGTCTCTGGGAACGCCAGTGAACTCTCCTCACCGGACCCCTCCCCCCACACCTAATTCCTCAGTTAGATCATGATGGGACTTTGATTCTCTGAAGTTGTATGCTAATTTGTAGATTTCTGTCTGGTGAGGAACCAGAGGCACGTGACTATTACTCTTAAAAATTCTCCCTCCTCCTCCCCTCGCAGTTGATATCCTTTCACCCAGGATGGAGATGTCATCTGGAGACCTCTCCAGGAGAGAGAGGTTGATTTGCAAACCTGTTAGCATATGTAGCATTGGATTTGAGTTGCAGAAGCTTGCTCTCCAATGATAGTTTTCTTTCTAGTAGCGTTCTCTTTTCCTAGAAGAAAAATAACAGACGATTTCTGCTTACTATTTTTATGTGGATGTCTATGGTGCATACATGTGTTTAGTAAGGCATTCTTGCAAACGTGTTCACCAAAAATAAAAAGATGCTCTTTGCAAACTTAGAAATATAAATTGTGTGACAGAGTTCATATCATACTAGCCATTACAATGTGCCCCGATCAGTCTTGGTCAGATCTTCACCTGTGTGCTTTATAACTAAGTCAACGGTAGGGCCAGAGCTTGTTCACACCTCCCTACCTGAGCAGTTTGTTCCAGCACTTACGCTGAAAAGGAGCAAGTGCCGCTCGAATTCTCCTATCTGCTTCCCCCAGTGCACCCCAAGTGAACATCAGGCTAGCCCCACCTCCTCAGCACAGGCTCTTCCACAGCACCTACCTCTCATACAGTAACTGAGTTATTAGTACCCAGGGACAGCACTGCATGCACCTTGCTTCCTCTACCTGATCTCGTGGCATCTGGCAGAAAGTAGCAGATGCATTTTTAATAAAGGATAAAGGCCACGGTGACTTCCTAATTAGGATCCTGGAGGACCTGTGACACTAACAAAGATTAACATTCAAATGTCATAATTTTAATTATTAAACCAAACTCTTCCTCCCAAAGGAAAAACAGAGGAGCTCATGAAGACCCAAGTATGGATGGCTGTGTTCATTGTGCGTTTGATGGTGGCATACAAAAATTAAGGGATGTGAGCAGGGCGCTCGTGCTTATAATCCTAGCTATTCAGGAGGCTGAGATCTGAGGATTGTGGTTCAAACCCAGCCCAGGCAGGAAAGCCCATGAAACTTTTATCTCCAATTAACCACCAGAGAACTGGAAGTGGAGTTGTGGCTCAAAGTGGTAGAGAGCACTAGCTCTGAGCAAAAAAAAGCTAGGGACAGGGCTCAGGGCCTGAGTTCAAGCTCAAGTGGTAGAACAAAAAAAAAAAAAAAAAAGGCTCAGAGATAGCACTCAGGACCTGAGTTCAAGCTCCATGACTGACAAAAAACGGGATTTGGAGTTTGGGCTACTGGTTTAATGCTAAGTTGGAGGAAGCAGACTCTTAAATAAGCAGGGTTTGGGATTGGCCCTGTGGATGGAACTCACTGGGGAAAAATGTTTTGAAAACATCTACAATGCTGTTCGGAATCATTTCCTGTGGCATATTATGGGTACTATGTGGGCAGTTCCTTATAGCAGAAGCATAAGAAATATTACTTTGTGTGTGCATTAATCTGGTTTAGAAATGCTGGCCAGGAGTTTAACCTCCCTGGACTTTAATGATTGTTAAGAAAATGTCATCAAAAGTTGGAAATAAAAGTCATTTATAGTGTGTGACTTTCGTGCTAAATTGGATCATGTTAATCTTCTAGCCCAACCATAACCCAACCAGTATTTAATCCTTTCAGAGAATTGGCTTCAGTTTTACCCTTTTTTTGTTGTGGTTAAGACTGGGGTTTGAATTCAAGGTTTAAACTCATGCATGCAAACAAGATCTGAACCACCTGAAATACATCTCTTGTTTTGTTTTTTGGCTATTTTTCAGCTAGGGTTTTGCATTGGGGCTGGCTTCTGGTGCAGTCTTCTACTTGTGCTTCCCATATAACTGGAATTGTATCCAGATTGCCTGGCTTATTGGTTGAGGAAATGAGGTGTGGGGGGGTGTCTCTCTAACGTTTTATCTAGTAAGCCCTTGAACCACAGTCCTCAAGATCTCCACCTTTCAAGTAGTTACAGGAGTGAACCACTGCAGTTGGCCTTAGTTTGCCCATTATTATTATTTGAATAGAACCCGGACTCTGATCATTTATAGGCTTCTGGCTGATATAAAAGATGATCCCAAAGATTATGGGTAGGTGATGGTATAGTTACTAATAAGAACTAATCTTTAGAGTGGTAACTACTTTTTACATTGAATTCAGTAATCCCAGTTTATATTCCTTCTTCCTTCCAAAATACCAATAGATAACCAGTTTCCTCACAATACTTTATTTAACCCATCATCACAGTTTTATTGTTTCCTATGTTAGTGAATGGGTTGGACAAAGTGTTTAATGAGTATTTGTATAATCTCATATTTAACTCTATCGATATCTTTAAAATGAAATGTTGGGATATTCAAAGATAGCATGTGAGAGGTCAGACTTCTACTCTGGGTGAGAGTTGGACCATAATAGGTAAAAATTTAAGTAACCAATTGCTTCATGTCCTATTTGATCTGCCATTTTGTAAGCTGTGTTAACTTAGTCAATGTTTAGCGCATATAGCTTTCTTGACTCATTGAAATTGTCCCAGAGCAACCGTAGCTGTGTGCAAATGATTTCTCATGAGGGTCACAGGTACACCTAGGAAGCATATAATGGTTCTTGGATTATCAAAGAAATACATCACAGATAGCATATTTTGAATCTGTCTGGGAAGAGAAATTGTGTTTAATAAATATCCTTTCTAATAAATGTACTGTTGATGAATGAGTTTTTGTAATCAGTTTGCAAAGAGACTAGACAATTAAACAAGAAAATGTTCTTACTCTGGCCCCGGGCTCTTCATAGATCTCTGGGAGCACAGAAGATCACACTCTACAGAGAAGCCATTCTCAAGCAGGGGCTTCTGAGCATACACAGCACCTGGCCATAGGCAGCCCTATGTTCCCTGGCCACATGGCTGAGAGCTCAGAATATCCCTCACTCCTGATCTCAATGGATACCAATTTCACTCATTAACATCCAAATGACTTGGAACCCAGCATATCACTTTGATCCAGCCTCCTAGAGGAGAACAACACAGCAAAAAGCACTGTGAACTAGCAGCTGGGGGATTATGGAATGGTGTCTTGTTCACACCATCCTCATCTGGAAAGTAGTCTGTCTCCAAAGTGTCTTTGAACTCTGAATTTCTAATGGAGCTAAATCAATGACACTAGAAAACAAGTATGATGCCACAGAACTGCACTGTTAGCAAAAGGAACATATGCCATATTTACATGCTCGTATTGGGCGTTTTTGCTAGCTGAGCGCCATGTGTACGGAACTGGTTCTCACTGCATTCTCGATTAAAGCGGGACAGATGGTGGGGGTTTTAAGTAATGTGTTCATTACCAGACCTCAGACCACTAATGGCTACTTACTGGAGCAGGGCCTTGTTCCATTGACTCCTCTGGGGGCCCTCCTCCATCAGAGCACCATTTGTCAACCTTTGTGACAATGTGTGTTTTTCAGTTTCACTTCCGGGTTGAACTTCTGTCTTTCTCCTGTTGATACCCAAAGCTCCAGGTCTCTCCTTCATTCTGCTATGTTCTGTCTACCTAAGAGGCTTCTCAACAGGCTTAAACCGTGCTCTTTATACTTCCATTTATTTGCTTATTTCGTTTGCAAATATTGAATGTCTTTATGCTATTTTTTGAATACTAGTACTTGTGTGTGTGTACATATGTGTGCATGCATGTGTGTGTGTGTGTATGTGTGTGTATGTGTGTTTGTGCTAATCTTGGGGCTTGAACTCAAGGCCTGGACACTGTCCCTGAGTTCTTTTGCTCAAGGCTAGAGCTCTACCACTTCAGCTACAGCTCCACTTCTAGTTTTTGATAGTTAATTGGAGATAAGAGTCTCCTACTTTCCTGCCTTGGGCTGACTTCAAACTACCATCCTCAGATCTCAGTCTCCCCAGTAGCTAGGATTATAGGCATGAGCCATTGGCTTCACTAATATGTTTTTAAACAAATGTGTGTTTCAACACTAATTTTTTTTGTAACACTTCACGTTACTTCTCTACCCCCAACCCATTCACCTCTACTGCCCAGAAATAGCTTAATAGGATTTTCTCCCTAGAAATTATTGATTGAGAACATTCTGGAAAGTTGCTACATGGTCTTGTTGAGCCAGAGCATTCTGTCAGGGATCTCCTGGGATAGCCTGTAGTTATAGGCCAGTATCAAGGCAGGAGCGAAGCCATCACTTCCTAAGATGTCTGTCCAGCAAGCTCTGATCCCTGAACTCAGCATCCCAGGGACCTCTAGGAGAGCTCAAAGCAAGAAATCTGGGAAATTCCTTGGGCCCCATATAATCCATATACATGCATTATAATCTCCACAAAGAGTGACTATGTCTAGTATGTCTAGCCCCCATCTCTGTATGGCACCTAGTAGGTCCTTAAGTGGATTGAACGAGCAGTCAAATAAATATATGCAGAGCTCTGAGAGGAGTTTGTGTCTAGTAGAGATTGTCTAGCGTTACTAGACAATGCCTCAGAAATGATGTCTAGTAGAGGTATGTCTAGGGTTGCTAAGCAATGAAAATTATTTTCCACTCTGTTTTGTTGATATACATAGGTACTAACAGGTGAGCAGTAACTTGACTTGGTGGTGTTAGGATTAAGACAGGTTGATTGTAAATTAAATTCCAAACTGTTTAATCAACTTGTTAGATCAAACAACCCTGTTTTCTTTCTAGGGCTGTCTTCTTCTCCTAAATACCATTTACTTATTATAAGATGAACACTGGCAAGCCCCCAACCAAATAGCTCAGCTTTTCCAAATCAGCATAATTATCAAGTAGCATTCTGGGATAAACCAATACCCCTGGGATATTATAGTTCAGTGATTTTGCTAGACAGAAACAGTCAGTGACCCATGGCAAGACCAAGATATGATTTCTGCTGCTGTTATTAGAGCCTGACTGGTTTGGACTTGTTTAATTTTTTATTTCCTCAAAGAATTTTTATTAAGATTATAAATGGCTCTAAATTCACAGTAGCTATAAAGCTTTAGGCACTAGGCTAGAACTTAATAGAAGAGCACTTGACTAGCATGCAAATAAGATATTGGGATCAATTCCTAGTAAATCCCCAGAAAAAAAGAATCACATACTGAGAAAATATTTTTGCATCTACTCAATGTTTCTTTTGGTAGTAAACTTGCATACTATTGACACACAACACTTCTGAAATGATATTTCTTAAGTGGCATAAACTCAGGCAGACAGACTCAAAAAAAATTAAAGTTGAAAAGAAAAGAGGTAGATTGGAGAATTAATACAACAAATACCAAAATGTATCAGGCAAAATTTACTACAAGCTTATATTTGTACTTGTTCTCTGTTCAGTCCATTTCCTATTCATTTGCCACTAAAAAATAATATCACTTCTTTTGTCTGAATCCTAAATTCTAAGTCAAGCATAGGTGAATTTATATGTTTACCTTCTCTATGTATTCAATATACAGTAACTTAAGGGAAGCCAGCATTAATATTTTATAATTTGTGTTCTACTATTACTCTTTCCTAAATATATATATTTTTCAAGTTCCAATTTCCATTGACTGGCTCTCTTATTTGTGAGCTACCTGATGCTGACTGTAGCCATTGATTTTTCTAAACCCCAAGTAGTCTTGTATGACCCAAGATGGAGAGATTCTCCATTGATTCTACCATATACAAATGTTCAATTAAAGGAATCCACTCTGCTATTGCACTAGGAAGGCAGATTTTGTCATTTTTTTTCCATTATATTTTCATTTATACCCTCACCTAAGACATAGTAGAAATGGAAAGTGACACACACAATACCTCCACAGTACTCACAGAAAAATAATGACCACAATAACTAATCAACTACTAACACAATAATTCACCAGAAACAATAGCACAGGTCACATTAAGTGTTTCAGGAAGAAGCTGGCATGATGGAGGTCCCCTGGGAACGGGAGTCATGCAGGTGCATTCACTTCCATGCCATGTCATTGGATTTCACCTCCCATCTATTCCTGCACTATTCGTTTTCATTCCCAATGGCTTCCTACCAGGAAGAATCTGGGTCATTCTCCAGGGATCCTTACCGTCTCCATCCTCTGCACAAGCGTCTCCAATTCTGTGATTTGCTTGTGTTTTTCTTCAAGTTTTTCAGCAACTTGATTCAGACTTTCAACATGCTGTTTCAATGTCTGTTCTTTCTCAAGCTTGGTAACCTGGGGTCAGAAAAAAAATGTCTTGTTTTCATTAAACCAGATACAAATTATCTCCCAATAGAATTTGCTAACTAGCCAAGAAAGGAAGTATTCATATTTGTCTAGAATGACTCCTTTGTGTTGCTAATATGTCTTTGAATCTTCAGAAGGTTGCAAAGAGGTAACAACTTAATATGTCCTTTATGTCCAGTGCTTCTTCATCAGGATCATCTCCTCCATCATCCTCCCCCATCCCTACCTGCCCCCCCCTCGCCCCCAGGGTCTTCCCACCAACATTCTCCACTTTAGAATTGCTCTTGATTGTAATGTTTGCTTCAAACTAAGCATGATGAGCTCAACACTAATTCAACAGAGAATTAATAATACATAAATACTAAGAATGTGTGCCTTTGTTACAATAAACATACTTTCTTTTTTCTTTTTCTTTTTGTCCATTGTGGGGCCTGAGCTCTGGGCCTGGGCACTGTTTCTCAGCTTTTCAGCTCAAGACTAGCACTCTACCACTTGAACCACAGCGCCACTTCTGGCTTTTTCTGCTTATGTGGTGCTGAGGAATCGAACCCAGGGCCTCATGCATGCAAGGCAAGCACTCTACCACTGAGCCACCTTCCCAGC